GCAGAAGTCAGATGCTTAACCGACTGAGCCACCCAGGCACCCCGGGAGTTCTTACCTAATGAGACGATGAACTTCCACTTTCTCAGTAGTGTAAGTGTCAGACAAGATCTTTAGCTCCTCCATCCTGACAAAGGGAAGAAAGAAATATCAGCCTGATGATCCCTGACAACAGCAAAGTTATGAACACAACAGAGAGTACCTGCCTATGGTCAAGGTGTGGGCTAAGCAGTGACAGGACAAGCAAGGTCACTCTGAGTTCCTGAGCAATGTATCTCATCTCACAGGAAAGCACCTATTTCAGAAGGCTTTAAAAATAAGACTCAGGAATGGTGAATGCTTATGGGTAATCCAAAGGCTAATACCCACAAGGTGCTAGGCATGGTGGAGAGGAAAGACAGATGAGGGTGACGATTGAAGGGGGTGGTGTGTGAGACAGAGTTCCTTGGACCCACAGGGGTCAAAGCTCACCTCAGCTTAAGGATCATGGCACTGCACTTGATCTCTAGGTACTGAGCATTGATGCGGTCCAGCTCAGACTGAGTCTTAAGCCGGTGCTCTTGAAGAAGCCTCTGCAGCAAGGCTAGGCAGCGGAGAAGCACCTGAGCCCCCGGGAGGCAGGAAGAAGAGGGCAAAATCAAAGTCAGTAGTAAAGAAGGCAGATCAGAAATCCTTGTCTTCCTCAGGGCACCCGGGTGGCTCAGTCGGCTAAGCATCAACGTTGGCTCAGGTCATGATCTCACAGTTCATGAGTTCGAGCCCCACCATCGGGCTCTGTGCTGGCAGCTTGGAGCCTGGAGCCTGCTTTGTATTCTGTCTTTTTCTCTCTCTGCCCCGCCCCTGCTCACGCTTTGTCTCTCTCTCAAAAATAAATAAACATTAGAAAAAAAAATTCTTGGCTTCCCCCAAAGTGCCCCTGGGGCCAGGATGAAAGGGGGAGTGGCTATCCCACTGCCCTGACAAACCTGGGAGTAGGTGGCACTCTTCTTCTCCAGCAGCACCATCTGCTCCTGCTGCTGGCTCTTGGCATCCTGGCATTGCTGCTTCTCACCCACCAGGATTTCTGCCAGTTTCCACACCTTTGCCGCCTTCAAGGTTTCACTGTCTGAATCTGGGCAAAGAAACAGAGGACTAGACAGGAAAACCCTAACTGCTACTGCCCTTCTGAGGCCATTTTTCAGTGCCTTATCCCTTATCTAGCTCTACAAATTCTCTCTTCAGGTTTTCTTCTGACGTCCTGTTAAAATGGCCCACTTCTCATAATTAAGTTCTCTTTCCTCTTACCTTTATTTTTTATTTTAAAATTTTATTTATTTAAGTAATCTCTACACCCAACGTGGGGCTTGGCCTCACAACCTAGAGATCAAGAGTCACATGCTCTTCCATCTGAGCCAGCCATGTGCCCCTCGCTCTTACCTTTAATTCCAGATTTGGCCCTTAATTCTTAAGTCAAATAAATAAGATAAGGAGAACACCTATTAGCTTGAACTTTCCTCCCTATTCCATTCCGATTCTCCTAAGAATGAATTCATCCTTCCCTGTAGCAAGAGGACACTCCCACTTGGTTTTCACACAATTCCTTGCTTGTATTCTACCAGCAAGGAAAGAAGCTTCTCCAGTGCTTCCTAGCTTCTGTCGCAAATCTATAATTCAACAAGTTATTCTCAGAAGAGCAGACCAAGAGACTGGAAGGTCAGCTGTGGACAGAACAGAGTGCCAGCACTCACCTGAATTGGGGTCATGGTAGCACAGCAGGGTGAAACATTTCTTCTTGAGCTGCTCCTCTACTTCCAGCGGGAGCCGAGCTCTCATCCACACAAAATCCTACATCCGCAGGAATGAGAAGGGAGATGCAAATAGACCGTTAGAACTAGGAAGATCCAGCCGATGAGCACAGGATGATAAGTATCTCAGTGATAACCAGAGAAAATGCCTCAAGAGACATCAAGGAGATTCACTTTTAGCCTACCAAATTTGCAAAGGATAAAATGATGGTTAAGAGCCCATGTTGATGAAAAAGTGGGGAGCTGGCAATATGCACCAATGTTTAATGTGTATATCCTCTTGACCCATTGATCCCACCTCAAGTACTAATACTCCGGGAAATAATCATACAAAGGCAAACACACCTATGAACTAGCATGTTCCTATCAGTGTGGTTTCTAACAGCAAAATGTAGAAACAACCGTATCGATCACTAACGTTGAGCAAACTGTGCTACATTCATACAATGGAATCCTTTTGGGTTTTTTTAGGTTGTTTAGTGTAATCTCCACCCCCCTGTCCTGGGGCTCAAACTCACCACCTGGAGATCAAGAGTCACATGCTCTACCAACTGAGCCTGCCAGGTGCCCCCACACAATGGAATCCTACCAGTGATTTAAATTGATGATATACTAAGAACACTGAGCACAAACTACGTGCCTGGCACTGTGCTTGGAGTGCTTTAGGAACTATCAGTTTATTTATGTTTATTTATTGACTCGAAAAAAAGTCCAAAATATATTCATTGAAAACGGATTATATTCACTATACAAGCATGGAGGCTATAATACCGTTTATGTCAAGTTATATATAAAACACTGTATTTATTTCTAGATGTAGTATTTCAGCTTTTACTCTCTTCTGTGTAACATATCTCTCTCTTATTTATTACAGTTTGGCCCCCCCCCCCATGAAATTAACTCGTATCATTTTTGAAAAAACAATAAAGTGTAACGAGACCACGTTTAAGTATATGGGAGAAATTAAGCCATTTCACTTCTTTGGTCCCCGTATCTGCCCACTCCCAACCTCTGAGGGGGGCATGAGCTCCAGAAGGTCGGCTTTCTCCACCCCTAGCAGCGGAGGCATTTCCTTCTCCCGGCTGGGCCCTAACAGCCCCGTCAGTTCAGTCACGAGTAGCCGCTGTTCAAGGGTCTCGTGAAACTGAAAGAGAATAAAAAACAAAAAGAGGTTACTATAAAATTTCTCCCACTCCACCTCCTCCATCCTCATATACCAGTTCTTCACACATTTTTAAAGTCCTCAAACACGTTATCCCCTTCAGCTGCCAGCGCTTTCTCCTGTCAGTCTTCCTTTTCAAAACCCTAACAACACACCCACCTCTTCCCCCATAACTACGGTCCATTTCTTTCTTTCCTTTTTTTTTGTTAAGGTTTTATTTTTAAGTAATCTCTACACCCAACATGGGGCTCAAACTCACAACCCTGAGATCAAGAGAGGCATGCTCTACCCGTCAAGCCAGCCAGGTGCCCCCTGTCCAGTTCTTTTTTGATAACCATTACTCAAAGCTCCTATTTCCCCTAGATCATACAATCAGGCGAAGCCATAGTTGGCCTAGTCATTCCTGCAGGTGGTAACCAATGCCTCCTGTGTCTCTCCTGCTTCACCTTTTTGTCCTCAGAAGTTAAATTTGTGTCTTGTGTCTTCACATAGTAGTCCACAAGCAGCTCTTGAATGACTCTCTGTAAAATCTCAGACCTCAACCATGCTGTTTTATGCAGTCGAACTTCCTTCCATGCCTAGAAAACCAAAAAAATCCCAGGTAGGAACTTCTCTGTCTTGGAAGATTTTCCCTTCCTCCTATCATCCCTCCCCCGAGAGCTCTTACCTGAGCCTGCTCCTTTGCCAGGGTGAGGCTTAAGCCACTCTCGTCTACGTGTTGTGCGAGACTCAGCAGCAGCTTGCTGAAGTGTGGGTTTTGTAACAGGTCCTTTTCACTCAGGTTACAAGGAGGAAGCTGTTTGCTGCACACTTCGTGGGATGTCCCCATAGAGACAAAAAAAAAGCAAGGATGGTATTATATATAATTGAGAATAACTCTTAGCTTAACACTTTCAAAAAGGTTTTTGGTAGGGGAGTTTTCTAAATCTAATGAAATGTTTATTTATTTATTTTTATTTATTTTAAAAAATGTTAATGTTTATTTATTTTTGAGAGAGAGAGAGACAGAATGCAAGGCGTGGGGCAGAGAGAGAGGGAGACACAGAATCCAAAGCAGGCTCCAGCTGTCAATGCAGAGCCCGATACAGGGCTTGAACTCACAGGCCATGTGATCATGACCTGAGCCGAAGCTGGCCACTTAACTGACTGAGCCACCCAGGCGCCCCTAATGAAATGTTTAAAAAAAAACAAACAAAAAAACACCACAAATAAACTAGAGGCAACACTCAAAGTAACAAGTATTTAAAATATATACAAAGATATTGATCAAGGATTAGGGAATGAGTCTCTAATAAAACTAAGAGATTTGGGGTGCCTGGGTGGCTCAGTCAGTTAAGTGACCAATTTTGGATCAGGTCATGATCTCACAGTTTGTGAGTTTGAATCCTGCATAGGGCTCTGTGCTGACTGTGCGGAGTCTGCTTGGGATTCTCTCTCTCTCCTCCTCTTTCTCTGCCCCTTCCCTCTCTCTCTCTCTCAAAACAAATAAACTTAAAAAAATAATAATGAGATAATAAAACTAAGAGCTTAGAAAATGGAAGTACAGTTGGAAAATATTACACAAACAGAGTCAGGAATAAGGGACCTCTTAGTAGGGATCACCACAGTACCCCAAATACCTCATTCACACTGAATAACTAGAATTCTTGAGGAAGGGGGAAAAAAAAACATGTAAAGTTCCTTTGGATGTGATCTCTAGTCACATAAGCAAGACTGAGAAAAGGTATATTCTTAGGGATAAGTGAAAAACTTAATGGAATTCTTATTGTAAACAGAGTTGAGTAACCCACCTGGATTCAGAGCAGCACATGTATGAGAAAAAGTGCAGGAAACTGGGATCCTCTGGTTATTCCATAGGTTCAAGGGTCTTTCTTTAAAAATTTACATTTATTGGGGCTCCTGGGTGGTTCAGTTGGTTAAGTGACTGACTGCGGCTCCGGTCATGATCTCGCAGTTTGTGAGTTCGAGCTCCGTGTCGGGCTCTGTGCTGACAGCTCAGAGCCTAGAGCCTGCTTCAGATTCTGTGTCTCCCCCTCTCTCTAACCCTCCCCATGCTCTGTGTCTCTCCATCTCTCAATAATAAATAAACGTTAAAAAAAATTAAAAATGTATGTTTATTTAGTTTTTGAAAGAGACAGAGCACAAGTGGCAGAGGGGCAGAGAGAGAGGGAGACACAGAATCCAAAGCAGGCTCCAGGCTCTGAGCGGTCAGCACAGAGCTCAACGTGGGGCTCGGGCTCACAGACCACAAGATCATGCCTGAGCTGAAGTCAGACGCTCAACCGACTGAGCCACCCAGGCACCCCATCAGCCTTTCTAACTCTTTTCTCACACGTTTTCTGCTGGGGTCCTCTGTTTTACTCCTACTTACCAAACAATCAAACTTTCATTCTTTGGACCCTCAGAAAGTCCCTTTGAAGAATAAGAAATCTCCTTTTTCTCCCCTCAGGCACTGAAGGATCAACATGGAAATGGTCAAAATGTAGAAGATTCAAGTTCTTGAAGGATTCAAGATATAGAAAGGGTGTGAGATATGGAAAGAATTCAAGATATGAGACGATATGGAAGCATCTGAGATTTTAGAGTACAAGATATGAGAAAATTCAAGATGCAGGTAGGAAGGAAGCCTTCACAGAGTTTCTTGGCCAGCCTTACATTCAGGTTATGCCTGCTAACACAGCATCAGAGCAGCATGAGTTTTTAGTCCACTGCAGGAGCAGACACTTGATAGGAGCCAGTGTAATATGTTTTCCAATAAGAGGGTATTTAAGAATCTTTATGTATTCTCTAGTTTCCCCCAGAAACTTAGGCTTTTATGTGAGAAACCATACTGGTGAACTTTATAAATCCTTTTTATTATAGAAAGCAAGAACCTGGATAAGATCTCTCTGGAGAAGTCATCAAACCTCCTTCAAATGGCAGCCCTTACCTTGTTGGAGTATTTCCATTCCTTCTCCAGGTGAGCAGAAATCCCCGGATGCCATCTGATTTTCTTGAAATTCTTATCTGTGGAACTGAGTGAAAGAAAACACAAAGTGAATAAACTGGGTTGCTGCTCCAGAGAAAACTACCATGGGTTCAAGTTTCTGTTGTCTATGAGCTGGGGAGGAACTTCAGGGATGCCTCTTACAGGGAGGGACTATATTGTACATCGTGGGTCCCAAGCTCTTGCAAGTTTTATAGACAGACTTCTAAGTGGCAAAACAATTTGCATTCTAAGCACATAAATGTTTCCACTTGTTCCAAGCCTTCTAAAAAGGAATCTTCTTTGGAAAGAAAATTTTCCAATTCACTGAACAGGACGATGCTCCCCTCCCCTCACCATTATGTCTAAGTTAAAACGGAGTTGCTACTTGCCAGTGATGAGTGAGTTGGAGGAAGGGAGGGTGGGGAGTCAATGTCTGCTTTTTTTCCCTAGTCAAATAACTCCACCTTCAAATTCCACAATAGTTTCTTGTACTTCTTTAACTTGTCCTTTCATCTAAGACCTGTTGGTAGTTTTTGATCATTAACTTTAGAATCATCCTTCAGGAATGACAAATCATTCCATATTGAACAACCACCATTGGTTTTCACATAGCAGCGTAAGAAGACTGACAGGAAGGTCGGCGCCAAAAGAGCGATGCAAAGGTGTAGTTAATACAGCTAAGGCTGGGCTGTGGGGTGTTTTGACAGAACATGGAGTACACTGAAAAGGATGACATCAACACAAAGGGGCAGTAAAGGTGGGCACAGTTTGGACTCAAGACAAAATTTTTCCCTTGACCTTATCTTCCATTTTTTTGCTCCACCCTGTCCTCTCTGTAAGGTATTAAACTCCAAAGGGCAGCTGAGCCTCCCAAAGAAGACATTGAAGGTTATTAGGATTTAACATTTGATGTTCACAGAACATTTGGTTTACTCCCTTGTTTTATGAGTAGCATCAAAGTAACTACTCATTTATTATTAAGTTTACTTATTTATTTAGAGAGAGAGAGAGAGAGAGTGATGGAACAAGAGCAGGGAAGGGCAGAGAGAGGAGAGAAGGAATCCCAAGCAGCTCCATGCTGTCACCGCAGAGCCCTTGGTGGGGCAGTGGCTCCATCCCACCACCCACGAGATCATGACCTGAGCCAAGATCAAGAGTTGGATGCTTAATGACTGAGCCACCCAGGCGCCCCTACTACTCATTTATTTTGTAACATGGTCTAGAGAGGAACACAGATGAGGAGTCCAGATGCTAGGACTTCATTTGCAGCTTAGCCGTCGCTGCTGTGTGAAGTTAAGGGAAATGCTTTTTGGTGCCAAACTTTCTTCGCCTGCAAAAGAGATCATAAATCCTGCCTTGGATGAGACATCAAGAATTAATAACACAACTCGTTAACAAAAGCCACTAGTTAAACTCAGTGTTTTAACAATTCTGTTGATCTAAGTTCTGCAGGCAAATTTCGCAGACGGAAATGAGGACCAATCCAAATTTCAAAAAAGTCAGCTGTTCTTCCCTCCCTAGGGGAACTGCCCATTAGGGTTTTCTTAGGGTGCTTTTCTTTACCCTTTTAAAATGTTACAGGGCGTGAACGAAGGCGACAATCAGACTCGATTCTCCACCCTCTGCACTCAGACGTGTTAAAACGCTGCTACAGGGACCCAAGCATTTAAATGTTCTGACTCAGGCGTCTTTTAAATTCTTAGAGCTGTCTTTACACGCTGCACTGAACGTTAAATTGATTTTACAGGTATTTTCACAAGATGTGACCCTTACAGGGCCCGAGATGAATCAAAATGCGGAGAGGGCTCTCCGGCGCCTACTTCCCTTCCGTCTGGGCAGCCAAGGATTCCCAAGGGCGAGGGCGGCCGAGCCGGAGGCCGGGGGCTGGCCGGACTGACCCTCCCAGCACTCCTCCTCCCCGCCGCGCCGCCCTCCGACCCTCAGAGGCAAACCTGCACACCATGGGGCAGCTGAAGCTCCCGAGGCAGTGCGGAGCGGCCTGGTGCGGGATGGCCCGCAGCGTCCACGCCGAAATCCCGCCCGCACGCGGGCTCCGGAACCTCTCACTCGGGTCTGCACTGGGGTTGAGGGAAGCTAGGCCCGGGTGGACTGAGCAGGAACTTCGGGGGAGAGGGGGAAAAGGCCGAAAGTGCGCAGCGGCCCCGTGGGAGGGAGGAGGGGCGGGGCCCCGCCTGAAGCGGGAACTGCAGGCCCCGCCCCTCGTCGAGCGCGCGCCCTCAGTCCTCAACCACCTGCAAGCCCGGCTTTTCGGCTTTTGGAGTGCGGGATGGGAAGGCCTCTTTGCCCCTTTTTCTGAGGGCCTCCCCTTTGTTGAGGGCAAATGTAGAGAAAATGGTAATGATTGCTAACATTTATCGAGGGCCTACAATGAGTCAAGAGCTATGTCAATAGGCTTTACTTGCCTTGCGGGTTCCTCATTTAGTTCTTACGTCAGTTCTTAGGGCATCCTACGAGAGAGTCACTATCATACCCATTTTACAGAGGGGAAAACTAAGGCGCCGAGAAGTTAAGTGACTTGTTCATGGTCGCAGCTCACAGAGTCTAAATCGGACCCAATGGCCCTCTGAACCTTACACCTGCCGCCCACACTAAGCCTGCCAGTCTCTTCACTCTGGCGCTGCCCCCTGGGTCAGCTTCCAATCTAATTTCCTCCCAGGCTCCTCTAACTTCATTATCTCTCATCCTTCATTCACCTCGCTCTCTCAGGCTAGCTCGCTCCCTCTCCCCCCTCCCTCCCTTTCACCTTCTCTCCTTCTTTTTTAAACTACAGGGACTTGTATAGTTTGCTTAATAATAAGTCTGGAGCTGGAGATCCCAAGGCTTCTTAGTAACTCTGTGGTCATGTTTTTTTGCATTTTCCTTATGGTTACAGGGTAGCTGCAGAAATCCAAGAAGTACATCCAATTCAACAGCATCCCAAGCAGGCAGGAAGGGGAGGAGCCTTCTTCCTGCAACAGTCAGGGAAGAAAATCTTTCCCAAAGTACACAGCGGACTTTCCCATATGTCTCATTGACCAGACTGGGTCACGGGCCCATCTCTAGACCAATGAGCTAGATATCTTCCATTTGCCCCCAGATAACCAGTAAGGACTGCCTGTAAATACTTCAGGGTTTCCAGATGCCCTACTTTCAGCCAATGAGGGGTCCCAGCAGGAGGCTGGATGGGAGGGAGGGGATGACTGACTTTCTCACTGGGCTTGACCTGAGGCTGCCTACAGACTTTAACCCAAGATCATTACTTCTGTCAAGGGGGTTCCCCTACCTCTCTCTGTCTTAAACACCACCCACTCCCACCCTCTTTTCAAAGTTGACTGGAATGTAATCATTAAGTGAATTATTTCTAAAATAATATTTGATGTTAAGTAAATTACACCAAGTTTCTCAAATCTCTTGCATCAGAGAAGCTGGTAGTCTGGGGTGGTGGGGCAGGAATCTTGGTTAGGTGTGCAGGGTGGTAGAGAGTTTCATATTTTCCTTTAGTACCAACCAGAGAGTTCTACTGGCAATACATAGAGGAATAGTGTGATCCAGTGCAGAAATTTTATATCCCTGGTCATCTTGTCAGCTGCCACCTTTCGTGCTTAATATTAAAGTGCTGTCATTTTCTACGGCTTTTAAAAATCATTTATGCTTCCTCAGCTCTGTGGTGCAGCATCATTAAATATCAGGCATAATGTCCCTAACAAACGACACTTGGAACAAAATAGCAAGCATGCTTTGGTGACTCAGAGCTGATCAGAAATCTACTGAAATTTCATGTCTCATATTTGTCAAGTTTTATAATCTGGTACTACAAAGCTTTGGCTAAACAGCTCTAAAGGACTTGGGGAATGCAAAGGTGAAGGGTGAAGAGGCCTGTCTTCAGATAGCGTAGAGGGGAACGAGGGGGAGAGCCATGGGAAACCTTGAATTGGCTCAAACCTTCATATGTAATTATCTGTTCCAGCTCTCTCTCTCTCTCTGTCTGTGACCTTGGGCTTCAGGTTCCTTATTTGTCACAAGGAGGAAATAACATATTTCTAGCTCCTCCAATCTTGTAGTGTTGATGTAATGATCAAATGAGATAATGGCTGAAAAGTGCTTTGGAAAGACTATCAAAGTGTCTTTGATAGTCAATTTTAAAATTGACACTTATTGAGCACATATTAAGTGTCTTGAGAGAGACACATAGATAAATATGACCCAGTCCCTGCCCTGAAATTCATAATCTAGTTGAGAAGATAAGACATGCACACGAAAAGCAAATAATAAATACTAGAAGCAAATAAATACTAAAAGCAAATTATAAATACTAGAGGGGCACCTAGCTGGCTCAGTCAGTAGAGTATGTGACTCCTGATCTCAGGGTTCTAAGTTTGAGTTGGGTGTAGAGATTACTTAAAAATAAAAAATCTTAGGGTTGCCTGGGTGGCTCAGTCAGCTCAGTGTCCAACTCTTGATTTCGGCTCAGATCATGATCTCAGTTTGTGAGATCGAGCCCCACGTCGGGCTCTGTGCTGATAGCATGGAGCCTGCTTGGGATTCTCTCTCTCCCTCCTTCTCTGCTCATGTGAGTGCACACTCTCTCTCGATATAAATAAACTTAAAAAAATGTTTAAAGGTTATAAATACTAGAGAAACTTAAAAAAAGGTACAGAACTCTTTCTGCAGGAATGGATAGTAAAGACTATGAAATCAATCTTATCTTAACTGGGCCTAAAAGGAGAGAAAATTCGGATCATTTAGAATGGAGGAATATCCCAGCAAGCATAGGCAGGGACAGGGAGTCCAAGCTGCTTTCTGGGTTCAAGAGGACACTGGCCCAGCTGAAGTGAAGGACTGTATAGGCCAGTTCTACATAAGACTACAACATTTAGCCCATAGACCATCTGGGCAATCAAAACTGCAGCAAAGTACTGAAAAAAGATATTACAATTGCACACTGTCTGATGTCCTTGAGCAAGTAAGATTTGCAAGAGAGTCCCTAGAATTCATTGTCTTTCTCTCTCCCTCTCC